TCTGGATCTTTTTACTCCTTCTGAGTAAATGTACATAGAGGCTAAGATTTCCTTTGTATTGAGAAGCCTGCAGTGAAGACAAGTTCTAAATTTAGACAGGGACTGATTTTCTGTTTCTGGTAATGAAAAAAATATGGTGACAGAATTGGTTATGGGATAGTGGGGGTAATATGTTTTTCCAGGTGAAGAAAATGAGGAATAAGTTAATACTTAAGATAAAATGTATGTATATGAGTTTCCTTGTAGCAGAGTCAGAATTTAACAGTCGCATCAAATGGAACTTTACCAGTGTCATTTATTTTGCAATTAATGGTACTGTCTCTTCCTGGGCTGAGGTACCACTGGGCAATGAACTTTCAGACAAGGAAGCAATATCAACATGACATACATACATCACATGAAGTTATTTTCTTTCACTAAATATCCTGTAGCCTGCCATGGCTCTACCATATACTACCAGTAACTTTGGTGAATTTGCAGGAATAAGACTTATTTTTTTCCTCCAAATTCTTAAAACTTATTTTTTTTCCCTCAACACCAGCAATAAATCCTGATGTAGTAACAGGAATTACTCAGGTTACAATAATCCCTCCTTTCTAGATAACTGGAAAAGACACAGTTTAGACAGTTTCCATAATTTGCTATCTTATTAAGAGTAACCAAATTCCTTAGCTTTGCTTTATGCTCTTGATATTTACTTTGTATGATTCAGTTTTATAGATGTTCTAGGAAGGACTGGCTGTTAAGAAAGTATTTTCTATACATCTATATGGGAAACTCAAGCAACAAAAACAGTAGTAGTAACTGTGTAAATAAAATTTCACTTCAAAGAAGTTTTTGAAACCACGCTGTATTTGTGATCTGCTTTCTGTCCTCAAGATGAGATCCAAATGACTTGAATGTAAATTTAAATTAGCAAATTGCATGATTGTAAAGGTCAAAATCCAGATCACTGAATAAGGAACAGCATTTCTTTCAGGTCTATTGTCTTCCCAAATTTAGAAAGAATTGAAAACTTCCTTCTCCATAGAAATTAGCACTGCCAGTAGAAAGTTTATAAAACTTTATATATAAAATCTTTTATTCACCTTTCTCTAGGTCTTAATAACCTGAAAATTGATTTATTTTCAAGAAAAAAAAACAACATACTGTATAAATATAATTTCTCTGACTTTCCATCTCTGTGTGCAATAGAAAGAGACTTAATATTGAGCAAGCTGCTGTGTTTCCTTCTTTTTAAAAATACTTACTAGGGCTTTTTGGAGTCTGGATGCTGAATGTCTTCTTACAACACTGGAAACTCCAAAGTACATGCATGTTTCTGTATGGCAACACCTATATTAGGTTAGAACAAAACCACCTTTCTCCGTGTCTCAGATACAGTAAACTGAAAAGGGAAAGGAAGAAAAATTCTGGGCAAACTTTTGACTGAACATAAGTGAAAAGTGATTTCAGGTAACAAAAGTTAGTTTCCTTACTGCAGGAAGCACAGCTAGTCTATACCTGCATTGCAGCCTCTACATTAACTGCTGGTGGATTAGAGAGCTGTGTGCTAGCTGGCCACAGCCTAATTGCCATAACAAAAAGCTGCTGAGCCAGATTTCTTCCCCTAAGAAATGGACACGCTGCACTACTTAAGTTTAAAAATACATTTTCCTGGGCTTTGTGGCTGACCTTGGGTATAGGAAACATTCTAGCAATGCTTGGTAAGTACTGCTTGCCTTTTCCTACTCCTATCCTCAGCATCCTACAAATATGGCCTATATTTTATTCCTGTTCTACAGGTTCAGAGCCATCTCACTGCCAGCTAAAAACACAGGTTTTGTTTACACTGGTCATTAAAACACCCATCAGTTTAGCTTTTCAGGTGAATATTAATCTGGTCAATTTTCTGCCATGTATGTGGTCACAAAGAGCAGAACCCTGCTAGTCCTTTGTGCAAATAAGATTATGTACACAAGACACATTGTTAGTATTATCACTTGAAGCACACTGCTCATTCACATGAGGCTATTTCAGTGTGTTTCTGGTGTGTCAAACATTTTTATAGACATGGCTGATGATTTTAAGATTTTGTTAGCTGGCTTAAAAGCTAAACCTAAAATAGCTACCATGTCTGTGTACATGTTTTTGGCAGAAATACAAATTTTTTTAGGGTACATTATTTGGTATTCTGCTGATGGAAACTGAGCCTGGTCACTCTGTGTTTTCAGCTGGCTGAATGCAAATCTTTGAAGAAGCAGAAGCTACATAACGATATTTAAGATGACATTATGCTTGAGGTGGCAATCCCTGCTCAAGCACAACATACTATCTGGAAAGCTTGTAAGGTTTATTAACCTGACCACAGTACCATGTAAAATGTGGCTCTGCGTTTGCTCTGAGCATATCCAGATATGAGACACCCTGGGTAGCTACATTTTGAAATACAATTGTGAATGCAAAATACTCAGCTGGGAGGAAGGCATGAACAAGTAAACTACCCTTCAGGTTGTCTACTCAGCTGCTACACCCAAATGACTACAGCAAGCAAGGAGCAGGATGAAGCTGGGGACCCTGAACCTGCACCCTCCTGGAGCACAGTCAAATGCCACAGTGACCACCACCAATACTAAAAGGGCTTTTATAGATTTATAAGCTTTTCTTTTTTTTTCAGAACAGGAAGTAGAACATACTTCTAAATAAAGTATGATGTATAAGAAAATATACTTTTGAAAGTACAGGTTTTCTTCTTCATAAATCTGAGAAAACTCAGAAAGGGAAGACAGAAGAGAACTTGAGGATCTTCCCAGTCCTGAGTTTTGTAGCCTCCACATCCAGTCTTGGTTTGAAACTAATAACTTGGTGGTTTTCTGAGTGCACACTATACCCTCTCTCATACCTTAGGAAAGGCTGACTTACTTTCTCCTCTTTTGAGTGTGATTTTGACATTATTCTCCTCAGGGGTTACCCACCCATGTTTGCAGAGCTGTTTCCTTCCTGGCTCTTCCATTTTCCCTTTTGTGTGTTGTGTCCTTCAATTGAGAATCCTCCTTCTGACCATGTCCAGGAGTTACTGGGGAAGGTGGCATTTTCCGGAGGCGGAGGACTCGGCATGCTGCAGCTATGTATGGCTGACCTGCCATACACTTTTGAAAGAAATTAATAGACAAACTTCACACTCTCCATATCCCCTAAGAATCCCCAACTCTTAAAATAATGAGCCTTTAAAAGTACAACTTAAAAAAAAAAGACTGCCATCTGAGATACAGAAATAAACCAAAGCTTAATGGAGCTGACCAAATGTGCCATTACAGTACACACTAATACATCTAACAGTTTTCTTCTCAGCTGCAGCACAGAACAAATGGAGTGAAAAGGCAGACAGTAAAAGCAAAAGATAACTCCTTTCCAAGCTTCCTTACGTTCCTGCTTTGCCACCATACATATGCACCCTAAAGCAGCATTTCCTGTGCTCATGACAGGTTTGCAGGTCTTCAAGCTCATGTGTCTGTAGGCTCCAAGCAAGATACCAAACCCCTGGTGCAAAGAACATTGAGATATGTGTCACATTCAGCATTTCAGCGGTACCTGCTCAGCATTTTGACACATCAGTAGCCCAATGACCGCTCTGTTCATACAGTCTGTGAGCAAGTCCTGGGTCATACCACTGGGGCAGGTCAACTACACCAAGTGCTACAGCTCTGAGCCTCAGCCCAAGGCAAACACACAAATAAAACCTTCAATCCTGTCAGGAGCCAGCTCAGCTTTACCAGGTTCAGACATGGTCTTAAGACCTAACAACAATCTTCCATGGACAGAAGAGAGTTCATCTGTTTAACAGATAAGTTTGTGAAAAGCTTCTTGGCAAACTGTAGGATTGGAGAATATGCCCAAGAAGACATTGAAGTCCTGCTTCACACATCCAGGTGCATTTTTTCTGCCCATATTCTGATCAAAGCAAAGCCATCTAGGACTGAAAGCCCTATCCCTGTATCAGTGCAGAAGTGGGCTACAGACCTGGGCTGATCATTGGTGTAAACAGCCCCTGAGTGGCAGGACTAAATGCTGCAAATGCATCACTGAGCAGGTATTCACACACACGTATCTGCCTGGCTTCTGGTCCTGGTCTGCCATGGGTTCAGCTGGCCCCTGGCACCAACTAAGCACAAACACCATTGCCTGCTCTCTGTCAGTCACACCCAAAGAGAATTTGGCTTGTTTAATCTAGAATAACAAAAGCCAGGAGAACATTTGTCTTCTAAAGATATCAACTATGTAAACACTGGGGACAAATATCTGCTTAAGTTTAAAATTAACTTTTGATTGGAGACAGGCGTAGACTAAGTTCAGATAAACTTGGGTATGTGCATGTGAAACCAGCTTTTTGGTGGGAATTGCAGGCAGCAGTGGAAGGGAAGGAGAATGGGCAAGAGCAGGACAAAGCTGTGTTAAAGCTGTTTATTTATGGATGGTAGTTAGGAGTGAATCAAGAGCTGTGAAGTTAAAAAAAAACCTAACCCAAACCAACCAAAAAACCCTCAATAACAAAGTGGCAGCCTTCCCTATTGCCCACTGGCAGTCAGCTGATCTTTCCAGGGCTGTGCCTGGAAGTGATATCAAAAATGCAGATTGAGAATAACAAGCTGACTGCAATCTATCATTTTGGGCTGCTGTTTTTCAGATTAAATACTCTCTTAACTGACAAGACAACTAGACCATCCTCGTTGTTTTGGAGAACCTGTGGAAGCTTGCAAGTTGGTGAGGGCACTTGATATGGGCACACGGATCTCTTGGCACATGGACCAGATATAGTACTTTTTGAAGTAGACTTAAGATAGCTAACAACATTACTGGACCAGCACAGATACAAACCTGTCAAAAACCTGGGAAAAGTGTGAGAGATGCTTCCCATTTTAGACTGATAACAGTGATAGGTAAGAGTGCAGGTGGGATATGTCCTAAACAACAAAGAGGGAGAGCTGGAAAGATGGTGTAAATGCACCAACAAATTTGAATACTTTTTTTTTTTCGCCTTTGGCCAGATGATTTGATAGTCTGTAGTATGTCTGTGAATGATCAACTGCTTGGAAGGGTGTTGCTGACCTCTTACTAGTCTCTCCAAAAAGGAAAGACGAAGCAAGTTCTATAGATGCTAAAGGCTTCCAATGCACCCCAATAATCCACTTTCAGCAGGGATAGAGATCCTCAGTGAAATAAACTGTATTTGGCCTTTTTGCACTAGGAAGATGAACATGCTGTCAGTCCTGCTGACTTCTGTAGTTAACCCAGTGCTTACTAGATGGTAGCAGGGTATTTTCCTGAGATATGCTGTCATTATGTATGTGTCTGAGAGTAAATATTTCCCTTGACCGGTTAAAGTGCTCCTGATTCTCTATATAGAACTATCCTGACAGTAAACCGCCAGGTACTGAAGGTGTTGTGCTTAGACAGAGTGGTATGGAACTTAAATATCTATAAAGAACCCTGATAAATCACAGGCTTTGCAGATAAACCTCTGCCAAATTCTATTCAAATGGCAAAGAGATAATGTGAATATGACTCTAATGAAGGAAGGCTAGAGTTGCCATAATGCATGCAGGTGCAATTGCTCCAAATCTCTCTTAAAATCCATTTTCCTGCCAGTACTCATTCTTCCTTTAAACAGAAGTTAATACTCTGCTGACACTACTGAACTCCATCATGCTCATTATCTCAGGCTAGCATTTAGATCAGGGTTTTGGAGGTGAAAGACCAATTCATTAACTCTATTGTGTCACTCAATGACTTCCTGTAGAGAGATCATAAGTCAGATGGTGGGTGTCACTGCTGGAAGATAAAAGACAGCTATAAAGTAGGAAGACAACTGTTATAATTCGCAAAAAAATTGGGAAAAAATTACCCTATAGCCTTTAATTTCTATTCAGAGTTCAGGTTTTAAGTATGTTATTTAGATAACAGTGCATTTGAGGGATATTTTTTTTTAATGAGTTTCAAATGTAGAATGGAAGAGGTTATTGGCTGGTTATTTCTTTTTGACCTAAAGAGAAGAAATAATATAGGCAACAAATAACACAGCAATTTCTGTAAAAATGAATTAAAAATGAGTGGCTTAAAGCCAGATGTTTTGAAATGTCCATATATACTAACTTGTTTTGGCTTACAGGGAAAAAAGGAGTGTTTGGAATATTGTTACTTTGTCAAAACGATAATGTTATGAAACTATTTGATTTTTTGTTAAAGAAAAAAACAGCTGCCAGGGATCAAAATCAATTTATTTGATAAAAAAAAACAAAACCAAACCCCCACTTTGTTTCCTCAAAGTACAGAAAATGCTCATTTTTCGAATGCTTTTTGGATAAAAGAATTTTTAAGACTTTTTTTATGGAAAGTAGGTTCCTACTGCTACTGGTTATCGACTGAACATCAAGCTTCTCAGTGTGCACATGAAAAATGCTTTTCATGCTTGTACTTGAGGTTTTCTAAGAAAAAGTTCAAGTACAAGACTTTTCAAATGTAATTAGCAACTACTTAACAGGAAGAAGCAGTGTCAAATAAGGAAAACCTTTGCCAGAGAGCTTTGCAGTTTCTGTTTGGGTTCCCTCAACCTGTTCCACAACAAAACCGTGGAAGACAGAGTGACTTTTTTCTCCCATTGCAGGGGTGAACCTTTAACAATATAAGTATTTGCAGGGCTTCTCCAGCTCCTAAGCACAGAGAACAAGAGACCGTTTTTTAAAAGAGGTTGGGCAGCAGCTTTACAGAAAGCCCTGGGCTCCCTTGGAGGACTCACCTGAAACACAGGCCCTCATAACTGGTTGTTACTGGGAGGTGCTGGTTGGGGCTCTCATTTGCTGAAGAAAAAGAAAAGAACCCTTGTAGAACAATGTTGAGATTAAAACAACTAAACGTATATGCTTTAGTACTTTCATATTCTTCTTACTTTCCAGGTCTCAAGCTGTCAAAAAACCCCCATGACTTGGGAAGGCCACGCTGGATGTGGCTTTGAGCAACCTGGTCTAGTGGAAGGTGCTCCTCCCTGCCTGTGGAACTAGATGCTCTTTAAGGTCCTTTCCAACCCAAACCATTCTATGAGTCTATAAGCTTAAGATTTTGCTCTGTTTCAGATCTATTCAAACCCTCTTATCCCAATAACCCTCTAAAACAATGTTAGTTGTTAGTTGTTTCCTTCATATTCATTAACTATAAAAAGGAACGCAGTTCCCAAGCTACATATGAAAGAAGAAATAAGTTTTCCTTTCATCTAGCTGTTTTGAAACACTACCTTACCTTCTTAATCCTGGCCCCACTTCAGCAAACTCCCTTTAATGCTGAACTATTCTTACCTTAAGTGAGAATCCCCTTCTTGGCTCCTTTAAAGATGAAAGACACAACTAAAAGGGATCACAGAAAAAAAGGAAATGCTATGGTTGTGTCAATCTCTCAATAGAGAATAATAATCCATGCAGTTACTTACTGACAAATTTTGTTCCTCTTATTATGTTATCTATCAGCATCCTCTGCTCTATTTTTCATCTGGATTGAGGCACTCTCCACAAAAACCTTCATTACTTTTCATCCATTTTATTCCTTCTGTCCCCCCTCCTCACACCCTGCAATCGTAGGCTGTGCTCACTTGCAATATTTTCTGCTGTTAACAGAGTGGTTGAATTTTTTTCCATCGAAGAGCAGCTCTGTAATTGGAGACCTAAGAGTCACTTAATATAAAGATCACTGAGGATCATAAACCATTTTCTTCTTGACCTTTTCTACCAAAACATTAGCTTCTGAGTCAGCCTGATTTGAAGCTACAGAAGCAGTTCTTTTTCTGCCATTCTGCCATTTCTGCCATTCTGCCAATGGAAGAAGTTCTTTTCTTATATTTCCTCCTTTTTTTAGCATCTGAAGGCTGAAATTTTATAATATGCTACTGCTCTTTTTCTTTTTGTTTTTCTTCTTTTCCAGGAACAAAAGTCAGCACATCAAGAGCTCACTGTCTTTAGTGTGTGTCACTTGAGATCACTAGGGAAAAAAATACTTTGTATGTCTCCTTATTGAATCATAAACCGTGGGTGATACTATGAATATTTTTCACAAAAGCTCTGGGATCAGGCATTTGAGCATCACTTCACTGATAAGCTAAATCCATAAAAACTCTAAACACTGAAGATGGGGGCTAAAAATAAACATTATCCCCAAAACAAAGGGCTATGCAATCAAAACATTGCTCTTGAATGTAAATTTTATGTTTTGTTGCATAGTTTATGCTTTTTTTCCTATCAATTACATACCATCTGTAATAAAAATAACTGTACAGTCATATACACATATACTTGAGTTGCTCACCTCTTCTCTGTTTAGATGCCAGTCTTAAATCTTCCACACATGAAATGTCTTCTGCAGCAATTTAATTCTCTCAGACAACCATATCATAGTTGCTTTTAAGGAAAACAGCTTTTAACTTCTAGGAAAATGGCTCATGCCATCTTCCTGGTCTTTGGTTAGCAGGGAGAGGGGTATGTGAAATCACCACAGATACATTCAGCAGTTAGAGACAAAAGCCACTGTAGCTCTCCTGCTGCCACACAAATACACCTTCAGTATATGCAGAAAGCTATCTCATGATCATACAGCTATGGCTGTGGACAGGGTCCTTCTCCTCATTAGCTACAACTTTTATACAGACTGCAACATTAAATAGTTAGAAGAACTCTGATATTTCCATGACAATCGATAATTCCCTGTACTGCCACCCAGCCAGAGGTGCTCACTGCAATGTTCAGAAGCACTCACTGAATTTAATGAACATCTGGGAGGGGTACAGTAAACAAAAAGACTTCAGCATATCTGTCTGGAAAACCTAGTACAGATTTTCCATAAATTTTTCAGTTTTCCATTCATCAAGTTTGTGTCTAATGCAATAAAGAAATTGAATACATTAAACATTCACAACAGGGCTGCTAAATTGCCACCTAGTGGTCTTGTAATGAAGTTAATGTCTCCGGCACCCTGATCTGGGTGAACAAATACCAGTGTGCTTTTTGTACTTTTGTCAGGATCTCCATAATGATGCTCAGTGACAGCTCGCCTGTGGTGTGGGCAGAGTGGAAGGGCAGGAGAGCACAACTTCCAAGCAAGATGGGACTGTTGGGATGCTGGGGTGCTGGGGGCAGCTTGTGCAGGACTTAGGACACCAAAGGGGAATTTCTAGGCCAACCACCCAGCCTGTGCACAGGGTGAAAAAGGCTACCAGGTCTATCCTCTGTACTACCTGTATAATTTTCCTTTTTAACACCCCCTAACCCTCCCCCCCCCCAAAAAAAAAAAAGTAAACATTTGATATGAAAGGAAATAAAAGATTTTCTAACTGTTGGTAATGAGTAAAAAGGGGGTTTGTCCTTTCAAGGCTCAAACAGCTCCAGTGTAGGAAGCACTTTGCTTTCTCCCACCTTCTAGTCTCACCCTGCCTGAGCCATATGTTCATCAGCATGTGCTGCTTACACAGAGCCAAGCAGATGGGAAACAATGAAGAAACACAAGTAGAACAGTAAGTTTTGCAGTTCTGCTTTTGTGGTTAGTCATGCAGGTCTGCCCAGAAGCTACTATAAGAGACTAAAAATAATTTTCAGTGTGATGATCTGCACAAGCAAAGTCTTCAGGGATTTACGTGTCCTGAATCATTTCACCAGTAATCAGCTTGGTGTGCACCGGGTTTTCTGTTGGCATAGGTGATGCTTGCAAGGGGTGGAAGCAGCGGAGACCTTGTGTTAGGAAGCAGTCCTGGAGTAGGGGCTGCAAGCTAAATCTCTGGGAGGATGCATCAGCTGTGTCAGAGATAAGTCAGCAATAAGTCAGCCCACAGCAGCAGAATCCAAATGATTCATCTTCCTCCTCCATCCTGTCACCTGCTGAGACAGAGTACACTTAGCAGCTAAAGAAGAAACATCAGCCTTGGGAGACAGACTGAGTACCTGTATTGTACCTTCAGAGAGGTCCTGGGTAATTTAGTGTCACACAAGTATGGCGTTGGTCTAAAAATGCTGCATAATCTGAAAGCTTAACCCTGTCCAAAACACATCCCCTCGCTGGGTCCTACATCAAGGTATTGGCACTTCTTAAGTCTCCCTACCTCTCATAATGAACTGAAAGTCCTGTAAGTGAGGGTCACCACTCCCACAGAATACAAAGTGAGACAGGTCAGGAAAACTCGATAAGGAAGAGAAAAATAGGACAGGATGAGGGACAGGACTTGCACGGTAATAAAAATATTAAATTGGTAACAGTCTTCCTACATTTGTGACTAGATTTTGTGACTAAAGTACAACTCACCACATATAGTACCATATATGGTTCCCTTTTTTAATTTCCTATCGCTTTTGGCCTTTTTGAGCTTAATCTATTTTAAAATACAGTCTGATTTTTATTTGTGGACATTTTCCCCCTCTTTTTTTTTTTTGTATGTCACATATAGATATTTTTGTTTCACACTGTACTTTGTTCTTTTTCAGGATTGATTTGGTTAAATTTGCACCTTGTTTCTCTTGATTTGCAACTGTTTTGTTTAAAACAAGTGTTTATTATTTCACTGCTGTCTGGCTTCATTAACTTAAACATATTTTATCTCAATGAAGTTCTCTGTACAGTGAATAGTTATCTCTAAACTGACTTAATATTTCTATTTGTAAGACCACAGCTTCCCTTTCTTTAGCTATTCTGGAAGTATAGCAGTAAAGGAAGTTGTAAACATACTCCACAATGAACATACCACTAGTACAAAGCACCTAGCGTAACAAAAAGGCATGCAACTGAAAATCAGTTTACTCCTTAATGTATTGTAGGTGATTTGATCTTTAAGGAGTACACAATAAAAGGTGAAAGGTAATCAGTACAATACCATCTGAGAAACTACAGGGTTAACCACATACCTGTTTTCAATGAAATTATCCAGGGGTGGAACGCCCTATGAATGCAACCAGCTTTCAAATAATAAATTACCTTTTCCAAAACCCAGAATATGTTAAGCCACAAAACAGAATCTAGATAGCAATTAATCATTTGAAGTGTGATGTTTGCCATGAGTTTCTGTTTCCCCTAGCCTTTCCTGAGCTGGTCTTTTCAGGGTTGATAAGGATTGGCTGTTACTAAGGGATTTACCATAGAGGCAATCAGTCACTGTTCTGCTGTCCTAGTATCCTGATTTTTCAGACTTGTTCAGACTGCCATGTCAAATGGCATTCACATGACTCTGGAAGAAATGCCTTTAATCTCTTATGCCTGACACAGGCAACATTAAAAACCTTCAAACACAACTCTCAACAACTTCTGCTGCTCTTTTCAAGTAGGAAGTTCTAGATCCTCCTGTCTTCCTCCCCACAAATAGCCAGAGTTAGTGCCTTGAGAACATTGGATCATTCATTACATTTTTTACTTGATGCTTATATACAGATTTACAAAAACATCAAATGCTTCCAGTAGGAAGAAAGCATACTCCAAGGTTACTGTGCTAGCCTTGAACAAGAGATAAAACTATTCAGTTGCCAAGTGTAGAGAATATGTGGCAGCTTGAGGGTGGTGAGAACCTATTTACAGTGGCTCCATTGGCTCTAAGATGGTATACTGTCTCTGTCTTGTCTTCGTCTTATATGGCTATGCAATTTTTCCTCAGTTCAGAGGAATCAGAAGGAACTATTTCCCCCTAAAAAAACCCAAACTAGTTGTCATATCTGAAGATGAGCTGTGTCGGGCAAGCTACCTACACTAACTGCTTTAGCAAGGATGCTGGACTAGATGACTTCCTGAGGTCCCTTCCAGCACCAACCATCCTCTGATTCTGTAACTAGTCTGCCAAAGAGCTGTTCTGACTTTTAAAAATTGAGGTAAATTCAGACACTTAAAAATGGCCCATAGTTTTTCTTGGCCAATTAGTACATCTCAGGCTAACTGCCAAAACAGGGCTTTCACAGAGTTTCTTTGAGAGATGTTAAAAACATGAGCAGGGAACTCACAGGACTCACAGTAACAGTCATGATCTAAGTTAAGATTAATTTTTGAATGGATAGAGTGGGTTTCAGTTAAAGCGACTTAAAAGTTCAAGTAACTGGAATATTACAGAGTTTTTTAATCATTTTCAATAAAAATGGTGTGTGAATGAGACAAGCTTGACCCTTTCTAAGCAGAAGTTACTTTCATTTATTCATTTTTTATTTTCATTTTTTGTCTGTCAACTCCGGGAATAAAAAAAGCTGAGGATACTGAAGCCAATTCCCTCCTGCCTTTTTTTATATGGAGCTGGTATTTATAATGAGCTTCCAGCAAGCTCTGTCATGTTAAAATGAACTTTCTGAATTACTGTTGTCCACTTGATTTCACAATCAGCCCACTGCAACCAACAACACTGTCACTAACAATCTAATCAAAGGCAAAGATTTCTTTAATGTCTAGATCAGTTTATGCTGAATAATCTCAACACCTTTCAGTAGCAGTAGCACTTAAATACAGCTGGACTGGAACAAAAGACAACATCTGAATTTTCCAAAAGCCTCATGTACCTGCTATTCTTTCTCCCCTGCTGGAATCCTGTTAAGTTATAAATGTTGTGGGCTTTTTCATTTTTCTGCTGTGTCTTGCAAATACTTTGTGTCTTGTCCTGGGTGTAAACATTAGCAAGATGGATGGTCACAGGAAAGTTATTTCTCTGTTAGAAAGCCAGTAGGTTTATAAGCCATATATAAATACCATGTATAAAAATTTGGGTCAAGAAAAAATATCAATTTATCTACCAGGTATATATCTGTTGTACTTTTTGGTGTGGACAAATCATACAAACTATTGTGGTTTGTAACTTCACAGGAATAAAATGGTCAGAGACAGTACCTTTACTTGCAGCTTGAAGTCCACTTCCAGTTACCACTTCAGATGTATTTTTCTTTACTTTTTCATGACCACCTCTACTTACTGGTTTTCAAAGAAAGACAATACCAGGTGGATGGGACTGGAGCTGCGGAGGAGAGGTTGCCTATATTCATTCTTCGCTTATCTTTTCAATCATCTTTTAATCCCCTTTCCTACAATAAATGAAAACCTTCATAAAACACTAGCTGGGCAATTCTTCTTCTCATATGTGTATCTGTTGGGGTAAAAGAAAATATTTCGAATGTCTGGTTCTGATGACTGTGCTAAAAAAAAAAATATAGATTCACTGCAGTTCTTTATAAGAAAATAAGAGATATACAAGAATATAAGAAAATGTATGAGATATACAAAAAAATCGTAAGGCTTAAAGAATAAGTACAAAATTGTTCTTCTCTGGCAGCAACAGAACTGTTCAGATGCTAGTGTCCAGGTTAAGATGAGATTTGAAAAAAATATTAGATAGGCCATTGATGCATATTACACAGTATCACAGTATGTTAGAGATTGGAAAGGACCTCAAAAGATCATCTAGTCCAATCCCCCTGCCGGAGCAGGAACACCTAGATAAGGTAACACAGGAACGTGTCCAGGTGGGTCTTGAATGTCTCCAAAGAAGGAGATTCCACAACCTCCCTGGGCAGCCTGTTCCAGTGTTCCGTCACCCTCACTGAGAAGAAGTTTCTTCTCAGGTTTAAGTGGAAACTCTTGTGTTCCAATTTGTACCCATTACCCCTTGTCCTTTCATTGTTTGCCACTGAGAAGAGCCTGGCTCCATCCTCGTGACACTCCCCCTTTATATATTTATATACACTAATAAGGTCACCCCTCAATCTCCTCTTCTCCAAACTATAGAGACCCAGCTCCCTCAGTCTTTCCTCATAAGGGAGATGCTCCACTCCCTTAATCATCTTAGTTGCCCTGCGCTGGACTCTCTCCAGCAGGTCCCTGTCCTTCTTAAACTGAGAGGCCCAGAACTGGACACAATATTCCAGATGAGGTCTCACCAGGGCTGAGTAGAGGGGAAGGAGAACCTCTCTCGACCTACTAACCACCCCCCTTCTAATACACCCCAGGATGCCATTGGCCTTCTTGGCCACAAGGGCACAGTGTCTGCTCATGGTCACCCTGTCGTCCACCAGGACCCCCAGGTCCCTCTCCCCTACACTGCTCTCTAACAGGTCGTTCCCCAATCTATACTGGAACCTGGGGTTGTTCCTGCCCAGATGCAGGACTCTACACTTTCCCTTGTTATATTTCATCAAGTTATTCCCCGCCCAGCTCTCCAGCCTGTCCAGGTCCCTCTGGATGGCAGCACAGCCTTCTGGTGTGTCGGCCACCCCTCCCAGCTTAGTGTCATCAGCAAACTTGCTGATAGTACACT